ACACTGCAGAGCAACAGAACCATCTAAGAAGTTTTTGGAAGCTCAAATTCTCCACAGCCACACACCACAGCACTATTCCAGCCTTCTCAGTCTCTGTCATTTGTCACTATTGGGGCACTGAGACAGAAAGGGAAGGCGGTGAGCAAGACTAATTGATTAAATTAACCAACTCACAATTCACCAGGCCTATTGCTATCACCGGTTCTCTGGTTCTAATATGAGACAAATATTAGAGCACAGAGAGATCAGTCTTGTCAAACATCCTTTGAAGGTGGACACAGAGACCCCAATGACCACATAGTGCTGGCCACAGCATGCAACCTTCTCCTTTGGACAAGCTTGATCTGCCCAGAGGTGGCCCATCAGACAGGTCTGCAGGACCAGCAGCACAGTTAACACCATCTCATAAGTGAGAGAGTTGGTCCAGCAAATCAGCAACAAAGACAGGAGCAAAATCCAGGCATCCCAACTTGTTTTATTGCTTCCAACAGTGAAGGTCTGGAAACACTCTAAAGTGTCAGGCTATGCTCTCTTCCTTGCCCTGTAGGAAAGACTGTAACAGTCACTGCACATCAGAGTAATTTTGGGTTAGATACATGAGAGGAACCCAAACTATTACAGAGATTATCAACTGCACAGATGCTGAAAGGAAGTCAGCATTGCTGAAACTGAGCAGCAGCAGAGCAGACATGGAGCACTCAGCATGTATTACTCCATAAACAGCACCAGAATTGGAGCACAGATAGTCCTGCACACAGAACTGGTAAACAGAGCAAACAGCCCACCCTGTCACCTCACACTACCTCTTCTCTCACGTGAAGGGCAAAACCAGTAAAGACAGCAAAGAAATAGAACCTCCTGGAACTCTTCTGAGATCAAAAGTCCTTATTTCTAACTCTAAACAACAAGACAAACAATTCCAGAGCCTCTGCACTCGTTATCCCTTCCCTGTGACACACAGTTTCCCCAACAGGCTACACCCAGTTTTAACTGTTTCCATTGTGCTGATTCAGTGCCAAGCTCTTGGCTGCTCTGATGCTTTGAGCAAACCACATTTCCAGCTCCAACAGCGAAGTGTCACTCCCCACCACCACAGAGCAGTTACCCACACAGGATTCTTGAGTACACCTAGCAGTCCAATTTCCAGTAAGAAACACAACTGAAGAAAAAATAGATCCTGCTGCCTATACAGACCAGTCTTCACCTGCAGAACCATGCTCAAACATTATGTTTCCCTCAGAGAGGTTCGGTGCAGTCAGAGAAAACACATTTCTACTGGGTGCCAAGCACTTTGCAGTGGATATGCAAAACAACCTGATGTAAGCAAACTCTAGGAGCTAAGAAGAACTTTCCAGTGCAGGGAGTACAACAAAAAGGAGTCACATGAAGACATTTAATGACGTGCAAGCTCAGACTGACAACCAGTTTGAGAAAGAAAAACATTAGCACACAGTTACTTAACAGAATAAAGCCTGGAGCCATATCCTATCAGACCTGTATGGCCATGCAGACCCAGATAATGAAAGTCTGGCTACAGGGTCTGTCTTTCTACTGAACCCCCCAAAAATACAGCATCTACCCAACTCCCAAAAGAAGCAGGAACACTTCTGAACTTTGACTGTATGTGTATACTAAGACTCATGCTTAGAACAGCTTGATGCTTAAAGCAGATGACACCACAGAATGTGGCTTGTCACCATCTGCACCATTCCCATCCCAGAGGACTATTCTGTTCACTAGGCTAGAGGTCTTTACAGCCTGAAAAGCGAGGGAAGAGTTTTGTGTGAACTTCTTTTTCTAAAGTATCATCTCTGCATAGACTAAACAGATGGCATAAACAAGTTTCACCCAGATAAGCTCCCTTTACAAAAGCACCACTCGGCCCTGATTACACTATAAACTCACTTTAGTTTTTCCAAAACTAAACAGTCTGGTTTGGATGTAGCAAACAAAGCCAGTAGAATTCCTCAGGAAGACAGAGCTCCCTGCAAGGCAACAAACACAATGTATAAAATACTTCTGCACAAAGACCAAGTTTGAGGAGCTGCAGTCCATCAGAAGCCCAGAGAGGTAACACAGGCCATCATGCAAAGATTTTACTAATCAGCACTTTTAAAATTAGGCAGGATCTTCAAGGATTAGGAGTTAGCACAGCCCATCCCTGCAAAGTGGGTGTCCACAACTGAATAACCACAAGACAATTTCAAAGCAGTGAACCATTAAGCAAGTGGCCTTGTTTAAAGGCCCTAATGATCAGCTAGATTCTGGTACACAAATTACATAGCTTATTAGCTTTTCACAAGGGAAATACTTTCCCCCTCCACCCTCAATCATGCAAGGAAAAACAGCAACAGGTTCCTTCAAGGCAGAGCAGTTTGCTTAGTCTCATAGTTGCTTTGCCTTTCTACATATTGTAAAAAAATTACTCAACGTGTGACCTCATTTTCATGAAGTCCAGGAGACAAACTGCTTGTTAGCATCCTTTAAGTTATCTTAGGACATTAAGGTCTAAGAACCCTGAGCTTTCATTCCCACACCTGCTTGTGACCATCAGGTGCCCAGCCAAAGCTTTTAGATCCTGCAAGAAACAGGGAATACTTGATTGTCTATTAGGATCTTGGGCATGAGACTTGGGCAGAGAGAAGCCTTCCACACCTGGGACTGGTTCCAAATGCTGTCCTGCAGCCCTGCAAAGTATCCCAAGAGTCTCCTTTGGGACAATTAAGCTTCGTTCATTCAAGACCAGGTTGGGTGGGGCATTGAGCAACCTGGGCTAGTGGAAGCAAGGGGGGTTGAAATGAGATGAGCTTTAAGGTCCCAAACCATTCTATGGTTAGAAGCAAGTATAAAAATAAAGCAAAACTAAGAGGAGGAGGCTTACATCAGCCCTGATACAAAGGACTGATTGCTTATCTCTGAATTATCTCTGAGAGGAAACTGTTTATTTTTTCCTTTATTTGAACAGATGAGAATTTAACGAGAAAAAAAAAAAAGTGACTGTAAATCTTCCCAAACTGTACTTATTATAGCACACTTAACTCTGGCCTCCTATTTTAGTCACATGCAAGAACACAGGGAAATTACAAAAAAAAGCCCATGCCAAATAAAGTCAGATTGCATCAGTACAGACAAAAAGTAAGTTTAGGAATCAAGCTGCAAATTCTTGGTTTTGCTCCTTAGTTTTATAGCGACAGTGGTTTTCAACTCACCATCCATTAGGGTGGTGACAACCCATGCACACCTGTACATGGTCGGGGGTTAAAAACCAAGCAAACAAAACCAACCCTCCTTTTAACCATGTTCCCTTTGTCATGTAAACTCATGTTCATAGGAAGCAAATGCCTCCTTGTTTCTGTTCGGGGAATACAGACCTACACCAGCCGCATCAGCTGTACCGCACCCCCGCGGCTAAAACGATTCCGAATTATCCATGAAACAGTTAAAATTATGGCATTCATAGCAATTAAGGTGTTAAAAAAAATAAAGAGAAAAAGCGGATAGGGAGGGAAAGGGGGAAAATGGGAAAAAAGGGTGGTTCTCCTTGTCCGCATGAAAGATTAAGATAACCACGAATCGCTTATACAGCGCCGCAGGCAGCTTTGCTCCGCACTCCTGCTCATCCCTCCAGATAGCAGCAGGTCGCCCACCGGAGAACCGCCAGCACCGGGGACACCCCAAAAGGCCCTGCAGTCGCAGCAAATCCCTGCCGCTGGACATGACCCCGGGTACAGCCCCGCAGTTCCCGGTACGAGCCGGGCTCCTGCGGCAGCTTAATGGCGGCCACAGCCCCACGGGTCCTCCCGCTCCGGCTCACACCGCCCTCACCTGAGGCTCCGCCATGGCGCAGGACCCCGATGAGCAGCAGGAGCAGCGCAGAGAGAGACGAGACCCACATGGCGCTGCGGAGGGATCGGGGTAAGGGAGCTGGGGCTGCCGAAGGACCGGGCAGCTAGGGCGGGGCGGGGCGGGCGCTGGGGGCGGCCTGCAGGCGGGACCCGCCCGGCTGGAGCCGCTCCCGCTCCACTCCAGCACCTGCGGGAGGGCCGTGCCGGAAGGGCAGTGGGAGTGCAAGTGAGGAAGCGCTTGGCCGCGGTAACAGCTGCGAACTCCTAAAAATGCGCCGTGGGGTTCGGACCGGTAGTTTGGGACTTGGGGTTTAACTTTGGAGCGTGAAGAGCCCCCTCCTCCCATCTTACGTGCGCGGGCAAACAAAATCCTCACCCAGCCGTGCCGTGGGGAAAACACTTTGGATGGATTATTTGTATTATTGCTGCACACGCAATAATACAAATAATCCAAACGAGGCTACAGAGTGGTTATTTCTAAAGGCATGTTGTGACAGGATAACAGAAATGGCTTCAAACTGAGGTTTAGATTGGATATTAGAGGAAATTCTTCCCTGTGAGGGTGGTGAGGCCCTGGCACAGGGAAGCTGTGGCTGCCGCATCCTTGGAGGTGTCCAAGGCCAGATTGGATGGTTGCTCTGAGGAACCTGGGATAGTGGAAAGTGTCCCTGCCAATGGCAGGGGTTTGGAAAGAGGTGATGTCTAAGGTCCACCGGGGAGAAGGTCAGCATTGTACCCAGCTGTCAGAGATAAGAAAGATGGATACAAACCGACTGGCACAAAAGACATTTATTCTCCACCCCCTGGGCTCGGAGGCCGGATGCTGTCTCTGATTTGGCTTGTTGGGAAACACTACCCTGGCTCTTGCCTGCTCAGATCGGGGCTGTAGTGGGGCACCTGAGAGCTGCTGCGGCCTTCAGCTGGGATCAGAGCGACTGCTGCACAGCAAAAGGCCGTGGCAGTAACAGAATCACTTAGGTTGGAAAAGACCTCTGAGATCATCATCAAGTTCAACCTGTGACTGAACACCGCCGTGCCAAGCAGACTATGGCACTGAGTGCCAAGTCCTGTCTTTCCTTAAACTCTCTGAAGGACGGTGAGGTGCCTCTAGCGCCGCCCCGGGCAGCCGTCCCAAGGCTTGCCCACCCCCGCTGCGAGCGGATTCTCCCCGCTCTCCAACCGTTCCTCCCGGCCGCCAGGCGCCGCGCGCGCCCGCCTGGCACCCGCGCCTCAGGGGCGGCGCCGGCGGCGGCGGCGGCGGCGGGGCCATGGCGGACCGGTTGACGCAGCTGCAGGACGCCGTCAACTCGGTAAGGCGGCCGCTGTCTCCGCTCGCCCGAGGCCACGCGACACGGCACGGCACGGGCTCAGCCGCCTGTGCGGGGATGCGGTGATGCGGCCCCCCGCCCGCAGCCCCCCAGCCGGGGGAATGACCGCGGGTGTGGGGTGCGCACCCTCCACACGGCGGGATGCTGGGCGGGCGGGGGTGAGCCGTGAGCCGGGGGGTGGCTGTAGCGATGGGGCAGGGTGATTAATGCCATGTTAATTGTTGCCGGCAGCTCGCGGACCAGTTCTGTAACGCCATCGGAGTGCTGCAGCAGTGCGGCCCGCCGGCCTCCTTCAGCAACATCCAGACTGCCATAAACAAGGATCAGCCCGTGAACCCCACGGAAGGTGAGTCCGGCTCCCTGCGTCTCCTGCACGCGAACGTGTTTCGGGGTAGTGTGTTCGGGAATGCAAAATACGGCCTCGGCAAATAATTCCCCCTTAGTTGGTGCAGTGTTGGAGGATAAGTCGTCAGTGGATGTCGGCTGCACTTTCTGCCTAGCATTGTGACAGCCGAGTTGTGCTTGTTTCTAATAATTCCCTGAGTGATTGCCTGAATTGTGCTGTGTTTTCTGCAGAGTATGCCCAGCTGTTCGCAGCTCTGATCGCTCGCACTGCCAAGGATATTGATGTTCTCATAGATTCCCTGCCTAGTGAAGAATCCACAGCAGCTTTGCAGGTAGGAGTTTCCTAATTCCAGTATCAGAATGCTGCTGAAGGCAGACTTCCTCCTTTTTTTTAAACACATTTTTTCATCTCTAAGCCATGGCGTCATTGAAAAATTATTTTAGTACAAACCTGAATTTTTCATGAGGGTAGCCTGTGAGTACTTTGTAGGCTCAGTGGAAATACTGAACTTGCATCTAGTTCCAAATATGATTATAATCAGTGACAATATTTTAGACTTAGTTTTCTGTTAAAATGTAAAAAAAAGGTGATTTTATAACGCCACCACTATACTGGAAACTGCTCACCTTTTTTTTTTTTTTCAAATAGTAACAGAAAAATATAACAGTACTGATGCTTTGTGCATTGTTTTATTCTTTTTTTTTCCCCTTGTGTAATAATTAATATTTTCTCACATTTAATTTTGTAGCTGCAGAACCAACACTACAGAAGTCTTTTGTTCTTCCACTTTCTTTCTGGTTAAAGACTTTGCAGGGTGTCCTTTAAGTTCTTCAGCTGTGTCACAAAATAATTCCATCGCTTTTTAATAACAAGGAGTCTTCCTTTGAACCAGTCAAACTTGTTTTTTGGTTTTTTTTTTCTATTCTTGACAGATTTTTTTTACTTTGTGACTCCTAATGGCTGGATTTACATCACGTATTTTCTTTTTGGAATGCATGAAAGATGCAGAATGCTGTTAACCTGACAAACCTGATGTACACCTTTAAGATCATCTGGAAGTTTTAAACCTGCAGTGATACTTTGTAACCATTCAAAAGTGTTTTACAGAAGATTGACAGCAAATTGGCCAAAGAGAAATTATTTGGCAGTGGCGTCACATTTGGTTTTAAACAGAGGAGGTTAAATTTGGGAACTTTTCTAGTCACAGTAATTGCTGAACATCCTAATTGGACTTGTTAACATAATTTCCTATAAGTGCATTTTTAATAGCTGAAGATAGAATGCCTGCTGCAGACAAATTCCAGTTTATTCCATCACTGAGCAGGGTCTGACCAAAGTGGCAGCTGGTGTGGCCAAAGCAGGGTGCTCCAGAAGGAGGAGCTGGTTATCCAGTAGGGACATGCTTTCCTTGGAGGTGATACTTCAACAGTTTCTTGCTGTCTTAATGAAGAACTTCTGTCTCAAAAATTTCTGATACTTTCTGTCTGGTGTGGTTTTAAGATAAATTAGCTTGGATTCCATCACTTGTATTCCAGTTTGATTTTTATTTTCTTATTAAATATTCTGATAGTCGCCAAATAAATGGTTTTGAAGATGCTTGAAACACTCAAATATGCACTCTAGGTTTAGTCGAGAAGTGGTAGATAATACTTGGTTAGTAGAAATCTGATTTTTTTATACTAAAGTTGTCTTGGGGTATGTTTCTGAGTATTGAGTATTGTCTTAAATGATAAAAGGAGGTGCTGCTACACGAATGCTCAACACAATTTACCTGCCCCATGTGAGTTCCCTTTTGGTGAAGTTGACAGTACAAATTCTGCTCTAATTCATTAGTTAGTTGCAGTCAACTATTAAACAAGAGAACCTTTTTCTTTTTTAGGGAGTACCAGCTGTTCCCTCAGCATCCTTGAGTAGCAAAGTCACTTTAGGGTTCTGTTGAAGATCCTTGCTTTTCCCTGTTGCCTAATATCAAAAGAGGAAACTCTTGCAAGAGTGTTAAAATAGTAAAATAAAGAGCAGGCCTTTATTGGAAGCTTCCAGATGTCCCAGTGGTCATGGGCATTGGGACACACCCAGCATCAGATTTCTACAATTTTATGAGTTTAACAAATTAGCATGTCTAATAAATATTGCCAATTAGAAGAGTAGTTGATTAGGTAGTTTTTCCTGCATTCTACCCTATTGGAGTTGTTTCAGGGACTTTTTCGTACCATTTCTTGTGTGTTCTCAGATTCTGGTTGGAAAACAAAACAAATCCTGGTCAGGCTTCTTCTTTGTAAGAATAAGACTAAACAGGGTTCCAAGTATGCATTAGAAGGGTTAGCTTATTGTTCTAAAGAGAAATTGTAGGAAAAATACTAGGACTGTGTGATAGTAGCATACAGAGGTATTAATATATGAAAAATACATTAAAAGGCAAAAATATTTGGGCATCATCCTGGTTTTGCTTTGAAGGCTGCGTGCCTGTACCGGCTGGAGGAGGAGAACCACGAGGCAGCGGCGCGACTGGAGGAGGTCGTGTACCGTGGGGATGTGCTGCTCGAGAAGATCCAGAGCGCCCTGGCCGACATCGCCCAGTCGCAGCTGAAGACGCGGAGCGGCACCCACACCCAGCCCCTGCCCGACTCGTAGCGCCAGGGGGCACCGCGGCCCTTCCCAAGATACACCGGGAATGGATGGGCTGGCCCCGCCCTCCCGCGGGGCTGCCTCGCGCTCTGCTCCGCGTCGGGAGAGGCGGTTTTGGCTCAGCTCGGCTGCGGGTTTTGTGTGAGAAACGCTGCTATAAGGGCTCTGTTACAGATCTGCGTGGGCTAATGTTTCTTTGACTTACAACGAGCTTTCTGGTCACAAATATTACTTCAATCGAATTTGTTGAAATAAACCTGCAGGTATCTGATATTGACATTTATTATTGTTTGGAATTCACAAATGAGCCTTTGAGTCCATTGTTACCACTGATGCACTTGTTCTTGCTTGTGCTATTTCGCTGCTTTTACTGATATTCTGTATTTTCTTGGCAACTGGTGAGTGCCTCTAAAGCAGCAGTGATGAGGAGGCATTGGATGACTGGATAAAAATCAGCAGTGAGAAAACTTAAAATAGCTTATTACATAAAGTTGCTTTTCAGTGTAAGCCGCAGCTGCCATATGAATGCTGTGGTCATAAGCAGCAAGATTCCCGTTGTTCCCAAGGTGCTCTACAGAGATGTATTTATCTTCACACAATCACAGAATGAACTTCTGCTCTTCGTTGTAGGACTACAGAAATACGAATATCTCTTACGATATTTGAAATAAAAGCCCAACACAAAACCAGCAGCTAATGTAGGGTTCAAAGCATGAACTTGGGGTTAAACTTGCTCATTTTCTGTTGTTTTGAGTTACCAGCCTTGTTATTGCAGGATGTTGTTTGTTGCCACATAACATCTGCTCATTTCCTGATCAAAACTACCTCTTTCTATATATCGACTACACTGTCATTGACTTGAAAGCACCCAGACAAATCAGAGCAGTTCAAAAATGCCTTTAGCATGCAACAAGTGTAGCACAGCACAGTGTTTTGAGGATTAAAAAAGACAAAGGTGTTCCTACCTTTAACAAATACTAAAACTGTAAGTACTTAATAAGACTGGTATTTCATTGCTTAATAATATTTTATTAAATGTGCATATCTGTAGTCATAAATTTAATCTACTGTTGTGGAACTCTTGTACTATCAGGTTCTGCAGAAGGAAAAAAAGATTGGAGGGTGAACAGACTACAGTACAGCCCAAGGCCTATGGCAGCTTGTCCTTGATTTATATTGCCCATGTCCTGGGGAGGCTTGAGAGGCCAGATTTTCATTTGAAGTCAGTCCTGGGGCCTGGTTTTTGGGTTTTCCTGGAAAAACTACATCCAGTGCTTCTCAAGATGGTTTGGATTAGGGTGGGCTGAATTGTTGTTGTTTGTTTGCTTTTTGAATTAATGGACTTGAAAAGAGGGAGAATTTTGGGCTTTATCGATTTTTTTTTTTTTTTTTGGGGATGTCTTGAATTGAGATTTATATGTTGCTGGAAAAGGGATTTGATCTTCATAGTAGATTCCCTGTTACAGCTTAACATTTGCATCACCTCACACTTGTTAACTTGGGAACTGTGGGAGACAGTACATCTTCAGCAACCACAGTTCTTTTCATTTCATGGGCTTCTGTTTTTTTATTCTTGAAACCTGCTCTATTTCTGCAGCCTGATACTGCCTAGCTGTGGAAGCTCTTTCTTCTAGTTGCTGTTTAAGGATCAAATAAGTAGTCATACTTGGAAGTAAACCTTAATCAGAGGTATAAAAATGTTCCTTCATAAGAACATTCAATGTTTCAACACTTCAGCTGTTGTAGATTTTCACCCGCTCTTTCACAGTCTGCTGCTTGATCAGCAAAGTATGTATCTTCTGTCGGGTCTGTTGGGTCTGATGCAACAAAAGAGGGAAAACATTGATTTGCTACAGCTGTTTAATGGACAAAGCATTAGATTGGGCTGGAGATGTTGATTCCTTTGCCCTTTATCATGTGCTGATTTGTCCAGCTGCTGCTATTGAGGTTTGAACATCTCTGTTCAGAACACACTGTGAGATGGTAGATCTCCTTGTACTCGGGCAAGAATTGTAGGGCATGCAGGCTTACAGGGTCTGGGTCATTTATAGCACTCCTACTTTCAGTGCATAAGAAAAACTGTGGAGTCAGAGAATCATAGAATGGAATGGGATCTTAAAGCTCATCTGATTCCAACCCCCTGCTGGACACCTTCCACTATCCCAGTTCGTTCAGAGCCCCATTCAACCTGGTCTTGGACACTTCCAGGGATGGGGCAGCCACAGCATCTCTTGGCAATCTGTGCCAGGGCCTCACCTCTCTCACAGGGAACAATTTCTTCCACATACCCAATCTAAACATTCTCTCTGTCAGTGTGAAGCCATTGCCCCTTGTCCTGTCATTCCAGGCCATTGTTAAGAGTCTTTCTCCAAGTTTCCTGTGGGTTCCCTTCAGGCACTGCAAGGCCACACTGCGGTCACGTCTCCAGGCAGAGCACTCCCAATTCCCTCAGCCTTTCCTCCCAGCAGAGCTGCTCCATCCCTCTGATCCCCTTGGTGTCCCTGCTCTGGCCTGGCTCCAGCAGCTCTCTGTCCGTCCTGTGCTGGGATCCCAGAGCTGGATGCAGCCCTGCAGGGGGGGCTGAGCAGAGCGGGGCGGAGGGGCAGAATCCCCCCCGCCCTGCTGCCCTTGGGTTCTGAGTTGGGGCAGGGTCAACTGTCACCCACAGCCCCCAAGTCCTTCTGCCAGGGCTGCTCCCTCTGCTCATCCCCAGCCTGTGTGACATTGTGTCTTCTTGAGAAGCCTTGACTGCTTCCCAAATTTTAATACCAGAGAGAAGGGGACAAAGTGGGGGGGGGGGAACAAAGCAGACACAGCAACTGGTAACAAACATATGAGATTACCTGCAAGAGAGTTGTGAAAGAAAACTTAGGTTGAGACAAGAGAATAGATGTAGAGCACATGGGAAGAAAACAAAAGTGTTGAGCAATGGTTCTGCATGTTATGTTAGACAAAGAGTACTGCCCAGTGAACAAATTGTGCTTTGAAGAAAGATAGTACAGAGCATAATGGAAAATTCCATTGAAAAACAATCTCAGCCACTTCAAATGAGCAGGAGCATCTCACACTTGGAATCCATTTAGCCCTCTGGCAAAGATGTTGGAATCAGTTTAGTAAACATAAGCAACTGATCAAATCCTAGTCTTTACTATAAACAACCATGCTTGGAGAAAAGGAACACCGCACAGGAGCTGTTCTCTTTTTCAGAGACAAGGATACAGAGGAATTTGTACACTTGTTTTTAAAGGTACTGGGAAAAGTGTGTTAACATTATTTTAGCTTAATGTCTGTATAGAGTTAATCTTGGCTTCTATTGCAAATGATCTTGGAAGATCTGGGAGCTTCTGCTGTGTGTGGCATGGGGAAAGTGTCTTGGCCATCCCCACAGACTTCATGCCAAAAGATTTTGGGAGTTTTCAACAATACATGCAAGAGACTGGCAGGCTGGAGAGAGCTCTGCTCAGATGGAGCTTGGGCCTTGGTACACAGCAGGCTGAGCATGAGCCAGCAGCTGGCCCAGGAATACAATGGGCCAGCAGCATCCAGGGTGTTGAGGACTCTCCGTGTGTGGAGACACGAGGCTTGACTCCATTTCAGAAGGCTGATTTATTATGTTAAATATTATATTAAAATACTACATTAAGACTATACTAAAAGAACAGAGAGATCAGAAGGCTACAACAAGAACAGAATAGAATAACAAAATCCTGTGACTGCTCACAGCCTTGGCACAGGTGGCTGTGATTGGTCATCAATGGAAAACAATCCACATGGACCAATCATGGATGCACCTGTTGCATTCCACAGCAGCAGATAGTAATTGTTTACATTTCTCTCCTGAGGCTCCTCAGCTTCTCAGGAGAGGAAAAATCCCAGCAAAGGATTTTTCATAATATCATGGCTACACCAGGGCTGTGTTAGGGGGAGCACAGCCTGTAGATCAAGGAAAGTGATCATTTCCCTGTGTTCAGCACATGTTGGAGTGCACCTGGAACACTCCCAATAGCTGTGGGCCCCCAGGGTCAGCATGGGCTGGAGCACATCCCCTGGGAACTAGGCTGGGAACAGGATTGGCTTTGGGACATCTAAGAGCAGCCTGCCCATGGGATGGCTTTGGGGACGCCTAACAACAGTCTGCCCACACTTATGGGGGCTTATGAAAAGACAGGACCAGGCTGTTCACAGTGGTGCTTGGCAGAAGGAGAATGATGGTGAACAGAGATTGGAACAGAGGTTCACAAGGAAAAGTGTTTTTCACATTGGGACAAATAAATTTTGCAACACAGTCCCCAGAGAAGCTGAAAATCCTGGGAGGTTTTTCAAGACTTGGCTGCTTAAAGCTCTGGCCAGCCTCATGTGACCTCACAGCTGACTGACCTCTGCTCAGGAGATGGAATTAGACTCCTCCTGAGGTCCCTCCTCTTCATCCTGTGGATATGAGACACGCACAGCTTCAGAAAGAGCCAAGTGTTAAGGAATGTTGTGTCCCCATTATAGAAAGGCAGATCTGGAAGGCAGAAAACTTGAGGTATCTCATATCAGCCTCATTCCTATTGATGAGACTTTGTGATGTGCTGGGAGGCCACTGAGTTGACCTTATGTGTGGTGTGAAATTCCATGCTGTAGCAACCCAAGTTTCCAACAGGTGCCCTCAGAGAGTGTGATATGCAAAATCCACATCCTACACTTAGAGAAAACTGATCTGTCAGATGATGCTGACTCACTGTTAGACAAAGGCAGACTCCTCTACAGAAAGAAATTGTGTTTTACGTCGCTTGTTATATAGTCTTACATAAGAAATGACAAAAGTGCAATTTTCAGGCATTAAACCTGAGGCTAGAGAAAAAGTTTTATTCTAGCTTTTTCAAGATCTGTGGAAGAAAGCTTGAATGACTTTTATTGACTTAAAAACATTTTATTGATTGACTGACACCCTGTAACCTGTAACCCATGTTGTAGCAACAAAGAGCACAGAAAACAAAATTTGCCAGCTTATGTTCACATTTCAGGTATGTCAGACACTGTTTTAGGTGCTTGCAGTAAGTGGCATCCACAGTGGAAATGATCTTTAGGAAGCTTCTGTCTGTTTCAATGTTTTTAGTGTAACATGCTTTGAAGGATGCAGCTTGACAATGATTGCATGCTGTTTGTGTACACTTAGATGCATGTTTTATGTTTATTTTTGTTTCCTGTAAAGCCTTATAGGCTTGTTCACTGTAGCTAGACCAGGAATTTTATATTCTTGCTGCTGCTGCTCACTCACCCAGCATG